ACCTTTCATTATATAAAAAGAGAATTTCTCTATCCAAAAATTGTTTAATTTTAATTATGAACAAACTTTTTTCTTATTGTTGACAATAGCAAAATAGGACAAAAATATTTTTGTTTTTTTATTTTTTGAATAAAAAAAAACTTTTTACACTGTAAAGTTTTCCTTTTCTGTTCAAAATCCTCGTAGGATATCCTTGCCAGAATTAAAGTTTCTTCTGTTTCTTTACTTTAATGAAAAATAAATTTAAAATAAAAAAAAATGAATGTCCTTTTCTGTTCTTCTATTAATCCAAAACAAAGAAATGAAGAATGAGAAAAATAAAAGAATTCTTATTTTTTTCTGTAAATTGAAATATTCGTAATAAACTTAAAATGACTAACAATTCACCGGTTTTCAGTGCTCAGCATCATAACAGTTATAGATAGAAGTCTTTCATTGCTTACAATTTAAAATAAAATCTCAAAAGAAAAATCTTATCAAATTATTTCGATAATTTTCAAAACAAGGATACTTCTGGCTCACATCAACGACAATAATTTAAAAAAAATTTTTTTTTTTTCTCGTTATTTAAAGGAAGGAAATTTCATTTTTGTATTATAAAAAAAAAAAGGAAAAGTTTGTGTTTTTTTTTTTTGTTAAAAAGGAAAATATTATTAAATCTATTATCCGGAAGAAAATATATTGTATCTTAAATAAATCCTTATAGCATATTTTCAGATTGTAATTATACGGTACCGGGTAGTCGTCAATCTTTATTGCAGAAAATAGTGTAATAGAAGAAAATGAGGATTATGTTATTTGTTGTTGTGAGATATTTGAAAACAGTGGAAAAATTTAAAGAAGACAATACGGTTAACCAAAAATGCCCGTCAAGTGATAAACAAAGATGGAATTGAGTTTAAATTAAGACTGAAAAGAACTTATATAACACCAAACAAAACAAAAATAATTACTTTAAAACAGTGCTTAAAGCACTGCTTACTTTAGCACAGGAATCCGGTAATTGAAGAACTGGCGCCAGAACATGGCCTATTTCTTTTTTTTTTGTTATTGAAATTGTAATGTTATTGCAAATATAAATTAACACCATTTCAAAATAATTTATGAGATCACCATTTTTGAATTTTTATGTGGTGATTATAAACATATTATGCTCTAATAAATAACGGGACACCTTAGTTAAATTCTGTAAACATATTATGCTCTCATTTAAGGGGAATAGCGTTGATGTAAGCATATGATTTATTAAAGTAAATAAATTTATGTCGATATTTAAATACATAAAAATTTTTCCTAAAATTTTTATTATCATCATTAAATTACTTATATTAGCTTTGCAAATTTTCATATTAACTATGCTTACCATGTAATACAATTATTGAGTTTGTTTTTTTGGATCGATACTCTTAAACTTTTCCATTAAATTAACAAAAGAAAAACTTGAAACTCATATTTTTGTTATTTCATTATTACACTTTTAAGTGTAAGTTGAATTGGATAATCTTCTGCACATTCAAGAACATGAATTTCTCCATAGGACTGGTCTTAAAAAGTAAAGTAAAATTTTAATTGAATTGTAGTTTCTCTGTAATAACGCTTTTTTTGTTACGAAAAATAAAATTTTGAATTTAAAAAATTTTTTTATTCAATCGGATGAACCTAGCTTGAGGGATGTTTTCATTCAACGTGTTATAATCTCCGTGTGAATAATGTTTAAAATAATAATGACATAAAAAGAAGATTTCAATCCCATGGGGCATTCGACTATCTGATAACAAAATTTCACCAAATTTAATTGAAACTAAAACGTTTAATCAAAATGTTTATACACTTTTCTTGATTTTCTTAACAATTTTTAATATTGAAAATAACTTTAAAATTTTGAAATTTTAATATAATTTGGACTATATTCTAGACTCATGAACAAAAACTCGAAAGGTGACCTAAAAACTTGAAGTATACCAATTCCAATACATAAGTACATATGTATATGTATGTACATGAAAAATACATACAATTATTTCACATTATAATTCAAATTATGAAATGTCAAAAAAACTTATTTTTCATCCTATTGATTATAATTTTATTTTTCATTACGAAAACCAATATCATTTTGTATTTATAATAAAATAATGCTAAAATCTAATAAAAACCTAAAGATTCCACAAAAAAAAATCCATTCCAATCTCAAGAAACAATCTCTTAAACTTCTGAAAAAAAAATTTCCTAAGAGGCATATTGTATTCGAAAGAAAATCCAAATTATTAGACAAAAAAAAATAAATGCTATTTAAGGACATTAATTCTCCTTGACATCACGCAATACAACGTAGAAAATACTTCAGTAATGTAGATTTCCACAAATTCTATTGAAAATAATAAAACTAAATAATAATAAGTCATCTCTTCTAACATATACAGACCAAGTCATTCGTCATGTTAACCAAAGATAAAAAAAAATACAAATTACAAAAATACTAAAATATATTAAGTCATTATCAATAATAAAAGAAACCCATACTGTTTCAACAAAACTTGATCAGATTCAAATGACCATTTTGATTTATGTCCAAAAAAAAAAACAACAAATAAACTTTGAATAAAAATAAACCAAGAGAAATAAAATAAATTTTGGAAAATAAGAAAAAAATTTTGTTTAGCTTTCCCGATTTGTTCACAATTCCTTAAAGGGAAAAAAAATTAACAAAAAACATAAGAGCGAAATCCAACGTAATTTTTTTGGGATTTCAAAGCCAATTGAAAAAAGTACTTCAAGTTTCAATTCAACTCTAGTTTGAATGAGTCTAGTGATATGACTTCGCAAACCGTAGGAATGAAATTTTTGAGATGGAATCTGACTAATCCGAATCATTACATTATTTCTGTCCAACAAGTTGATGATTTTCGATTTCACCTCAAAATTTTGGCATCCAAAATTTCCCAAGAGCAAAAACTGCTATCTTTGGCTTGTGGAACCGAAACATAATATTTTCAAAATGAACTTTATATAATATGCATTAAAAATCAATTCAATAACAACTTGCCGCTACTCTAATTTATTCATCATGAAAAATTATTTAAGAACCAGGAGTCTAGTTTTAGAATCGTAATCGCTTATTATGTCGGGAAAAATAAGTCCCAGAAAAAAAAAAGTTTTTTAATTTTTTTAAGAAATAAAATTGAGAACTTGTAGAAACAGAGGGGTACTCATTCCTATTAATTTTCCTATCAAAATATATTTTCCGATTCGATTAAGGTTAAAGAAGTTTTTCAGGTAAAATTTTCCATGTACACTACATGAAGGACGATTTTTAAATACATATAGCTACTATAAATATAAAGGAAATTATTTATTTTCTATATCTAAGTAACAATTTTCCGTATGATTTTTATCAAGTTATAATAAAAATTTAAGATCAAATAGAATTTAGATGTTTTGAACGAATGAAACAAATCGAAATCTGCTCTCCAATTTGATTTAACAATAAAACTAAAATAGATAAATATCACATTACTCCTGATTTTTAAAACCTGAAATAATTTCTCCTTGAAAAAATATCATAATCATATAGTTGTCATTTTACCTCGTAAGTTAAAATATTAAGTATGATTATATTTGAGATGATTGATGAATATTTTTTACAAGGTTTGGGGACACAATTATTGTAAATGCATTCAAGTTATAAAAAATTCTAGTTGATTATTTTGAATCGAGACTGAATGAAATTCTAGAGAGTTGGTTCGAATAAAATTTAGAATAAGAAAAATGCAATTTTTTAATAAATATATTAAACAGTATTGAAATAAATTCAAAATTTAATTTTTTCAAAATTACACTTCTTAAATACAAAGAAAATTTCAAGCATTTCCTTAAAATTTTCCGTAATAAAAATGAAAAAAAAGTTAACAAAGGCAAATATGTTCCTTAAAGAATAATATGAGGAAAATAAATTTTTTTTTTTTGGAAACCTTACTCGAAGTAATCTTTTGATTACGTTTGTGGACCTTAATTTTTTTTATGGTCTAAAAATTTATTTAAATTATCCTTAATAAAAGCCATAATTTCCTTATTATCCCTTATTTTTTTTTAATTTCCGAAATATTTTTATTGTTGTACCCCATAGACTAAAAAAAATTAATTTATAAAATCAATTTAAATTTTAAAAATATTTTAATAGTTGAGACAAATAAACTGAACAAATTCTTTAATCTTTATACTGCTGGAAAATAAAATTCGATACATATAGAAGGTGTTTCGTACAAGATTCCAAACTATGAGAGACTAAAGAAAATATTCTATTCTTATCCCATAATTTAGCTCATCGAAAAAAAAAGTAAAAATAAAAAAAGTTCCCGAGAAATTTCGTATTATTTAAAAAAATATTCCGAAACAAAAATCCAAAATTCTTATTTTGGGGTGATTTTCTCGAAAATTAAAGGTGAAATACAATTGAATGTAAGAACAAAAATAAAGATCTATCAAATATCTTTAAAAGAACTGTCTAATGATTACTTTATGTTGCCCAACTCCAAAGTTATTACCATATATTTATATTAAGGAAAAATCAAGGGACGCATTTTTTTTTCAACATACTCTCCCCCCACTCATACGATACTCCAGTACTACGGTACTCCAATAGACATAATTGGGAATTTAAATTCCATACCCTGGGGATATCACATTGGAGACAAGTAGATAAACATTGTATGCTATGCTGTATTGTTTGCGGAGAATGAAAATTATTTGCAGAGACTATTATTCAGATTTAGCGTAATCTCAAAACTGTATAACATGAAAATTTTTACAAAAAAAAAATAAAATCAATGACTATCTCTAGGGCACCAATTAGATGCAAATTATCCATTAACAACCAAGCGATTGAATAAGTGCTACATTTTAATTATCTTGGAATAAATATTACTAGTCACAAAACAGTGAAACGGAAGCAAGAATTCAAGCAGGAAAAGCCGCAACTATAACAGGTAATATAGAAATACATGCTAATAGAAAACAAAATTCGTATTTACAAAAGCTGTATCAGACCCATATTGACGTATGCTATCGAAACAACAGCGGACACTCCTAAAACAAAACAAAAACAGAGAACCACAGAAATGAAAACGCTAGGAAAAATATGTGGCTACACCTTGACAGATAAAAAACATAGCAACGATATTAGAAATATTTGTGGCATACAGAATATTGTTCGCTGGAGTCGATATAGACGAAGATACTGGAAAGATCATGTGAATAAGATGGAAGAAGATCAACTGGCAAAAGTTGCAATGAATGGCCAAATCAATGCGAAACATCAACCAGGAAAACCTCCAAAAAGGTGGTACGAACAGGCAGCTATGCCTTATTTAAGAAGAAGAAGAAAAAGAAGAACAAGAAGAAATTCCAAATCAAAAATTTTATAATCTGAACTCCCTGAGTTATCAAATTTCTTTTTATTTGTTCCATAAGGAAAAACAAATGGCAGTGTCCAAACATGGTAAAAATATTCTTTTAAAAGTTATATACGTCTTATCTTTTATGAAATCCCTTAATCCACATGATTAACTTAAAATGTACATTTTTAAATTGTTCCTAGAATTCAATATGATTTTAATGTAGAAGTCTTCAAATGAAATTTTGAATGACCTTAAGAGCAACCAGCATTACCTACATACATATATTAATCGTATATTAAACAGTTGTATTTCTTTAAAAATTCTGACTAAGACTGAGGGAAAAAAAAGAAAAGTAGAAACAAAAGATAGCAAAATTTAATAAAACATTTGTAATTGAATTGGCTTTTTAACTTGATTTTACTCTTTTCTCCTATATCTTGTACTTTTATATTAAAAATCAAATACAAAAGCAAACAATTCATCTTTTGTTCAAAGGATATATGAGTAAACTTTCATAACACATAAACAGTTTTTTGTTTAGATCAAAATTTAAAGGACACAAAGAGAAAACACAAAGAAAAAATAAAAATTCTCGAAATCGTCAGTGTTTTTCTCTTTTCCTCTTGAACTCAACAACGTCATAAGTAAATAGCGAAATGAATTTTGATGCAGTACGCAAAAAAAAACCCAATTGCAACATCAGAAATTAAGTTAACAAAAAAGTTTTTGAATAACGTTTCAAAAACAAGGACTTTTTCTTTTTTTTTCATTTTAAACTTGAATGTTGTTGATTCAAAAGGATTGTAGATTGCAGATTTATTTCATTTAACATTTATATACGATAAAACAATAATATTCATTTGAAATTAATATGCGATGTACAACATGTACATATACATGTATATCTAAAAATGTACGTAAGCAAGGATGAAATTGAATTTAAGTTTTCGTAGTTAAAATAATCTGGTATGCATGTGATAGAGATTGGACTATTTTTATATTATATTGTTCATTTAATTGAATATTTTAGTCATTACTCCGAAATACCTCCGAAATATTCTAATTGATCCGTTTTCATAAGTCAGATATTTGACAAGTATGTATTTTCACGTTTGCTGCAATAAGGGTGTGAGAGTATATATTACAACACATCAACCAAAATAGTGAGAAATTTAGCTTTTGAACCCTTTTATGTTATGTTTTAGGTGTCGTGGTAGTTCATTGTAGTGTCTAATATATTATTGGCATCCCATATTGTATATTGAATCTTGCCTACGGAATCTCACTGTGATGGAGGATGTTAAGCGTATATCTTTAGCTGTTTTCGTATTATAATTATATGTATTTCATTAATAAAATGTAGTTTTATATGTGTATTGATGTTATTTGTTAGCATCATATGTACTCGTACATGAGCGACCTGTGGATTAATTTTTATGTTTTACACTGATGTTTTCCATTAAAATGGATTTTATATAAGCATATATTTAGTGTTTGCTATGTTTGCAGTGAGCCTATGTTGACTCATCCAATAATGTACTTGCACCATGTCAGTATTACTGGCCGGTTTAATCTCATTGAAGTTTTTTGTTTAACGTAGACAATTGCATCAATGGTTTACCTCTTAAGATGGAATTTAGTAAACCACTAATGTAGCACAAAGAGCTTTCTTATTTTACACCATAGATTACTTCTTTTATGCTACTATGCTAGCCATCGTATTATGAATTAGATTTCATAATGTGATCGCGTAAGCCGTCACTTTCGATTTGCCAGATAACCATTAAACCATTTGTATTCCTTACCTCTTACTCGGTAATTAGAGATTTTACATTGACTCATCTGAAAGTATTTATGATTCAAAAAGCATTTAAGAAATGCGTAATTAAAAAAAATTTCTCCGTTTGTCTTTCAATAAGCAGTCATTAAATTGATTACTTTATCTTTTATTCCTTGCATTTGAAATAAATTTCGAACTTTTTTTATTAAGAAAAAAGGCATAATTTCTAAAATAAAATCTTTTTTTTCTGCGAAAAATAAATTTTTTATGAGCAAAGAAACAAATTTAAAAATTAAATTTAAAAAAAAAAAATATTCTATATGAAAAGTGAATCAAAAAAGAAAAATAAGGTTGGCTGTATAAACTCTGTGCTACCATGACGAATGTTTTTTAAAAGCTATGCAAAAGAAATCACAGCTAAAACTTCATACGTATTTATTTTCATGTGTATGGTAAGGATGAAACAAGACAAATTCTTTTGAATTTGCGTGCCAAGCATAACTAGAACTTTATCAATCACTACCAAATTACACTGGAATAGTAGTCTTAGTAATGAAATATATCATTTATCTATCACGTTTACACCAAATTGTAATACTGTATGACAGTTACTCGAACTACTGCTTGGAACGAAAAAGCATAATAGACAAAACAGACATTTATAGCTACAGGCACTTATGCCTATATTTTAAACGCTTAATGTTTTAGCATTACAAACGGAATGAAAAATTTCTAATACCTTTGGAATATTCGTTCGTACGAGTAAAATAAAGGAATATCAATGCTCTTTTCTATCTTTAAAGACTTTTTAATTATATTTAAAAAGAAAATAAGAAATGGAAAAGCAAATTTTTTCTTAAAATTTACGTTTTTCGTTACTTCGCCTCCATATTTTACATATACTTAAAAGTATATGTATTTCTTCTTTTACTTTCTTTTCGAACTTTTGAAAGAAAAAGTTTCACATAATACTCTCAACTTTACTAAGCTTGTATAATGCTAAATTCATATGGATAAATTAAAATAACGGTATCTATAGAAATACCGTTCGTATTTCAACATTTAAATATTTCAAAATGGATCCCAAAAATTTAATTGATCTTAAAGAAAACAATATCTTGGAATAGTCAATAACTTGAAATATTTTGTTAAGGATTAAAATCGAAACGTTATTAGGAAGTCATAATATTCAATTTTCCTTCTCTATTTTTTTTAGGGAAAATTCGAAATAGAATCGCGTAATTTTGATTAAGTTAAATTTTAAATAAATTTTCCTAATTAAATAAGGTAAGATCACAAATGAAATTTAATATTCATTTATTTACTGAAACTCTGACTTTAAACTTAAATACATAAATACTATTAAAAAGATTTTTGTAACAATTGAATAATACTAGCCTGAATTACGCATGTCTTCTGAAATTAGATAAGATAAAGTTTGAACTTCTTTGAAGAAGTCACTTAATATTATGAAAATTCACTAAAATTTCTTAAAAATACTGTTAACTAATGCGACGGAAGGTTGATTTTTCAAATACATAATTTATAAAACTACTGTATAAGAGTAGTGGATTTTCATAAAAGTAGGCTCTTATTATTAAAGTGGATTTAAGGCGCTAGAAACCGAACTTCTCCGGAAAATTTTCCAATCCATTTAATGAAAAATTATATTTCAAGGATATTATTTTATTGAGATTTAAATTATTCTATTAAAATTTAAAATGAACTCCTAATAAAGATCCAATTTTCCACACTTTTTTCCAGTTGCAACAGAACTGACATACAGATAACGTTTGATAAATTGACATCTTATCAAAAATAATAGTTTTCTAAGCGAAAACATTTCTTAAATCTATTAATGAACATATTAAAATACAAATCAAATTATGAGTATGTGAATATTATTAAATGGGATGTCTTATGCAAATAAACTTGCAACTGCAATTTAGCTCAAATCAAGTACAAAAAGATTTGTTGATTTGTTTCCCCTATAATCCCAATATTTTCTAAATATAATATTTTCAACGGTAACACTATTTTTATATCCCTGGTAACATACTAGATAAATATTTAAAAAAAAATCAATAAAATTTCTAAGAATAAAGCCAAGAAAAGTTGGGACAAGTATAATTTGTGATTATAATTATTTTTTCCATTTAAAATTTCAAATAGGCGTCTTTTTGAATTTATTCATAAGGAAATGAAATTATAATTTATTCTGATTGTATTATCAAACAAATTGTAAGAAAACAATTCAGCGTCACAATTTCAAAATTTCAAAAATATTTAAAAACGAAGAAAAGATAGAGTTAAGAGTTGAATCATGAGATGATACTTGAATCATTCATGTTAAATTTGAATACTTTAGGTTTTATATAGCAGAAGTATGACTAAATTATTCTTGAAATTGTACGGCAGCTATTCCAACCGATACTTCAATTGAACCCAAATCAAGTATGGTTCATATCATGAGAAGTTATCCTAACCTCAGTGCGTTTTTGAGTTATTCCTAAAACGGACAGGAAGACTCACACACATAGTTAAATCAACTCAGATATCTACGTAAATAAAAAATATATTTATATATGTAGGTATTCGCATCTGAGACGCCTATTTCTTACAAATGAAGCGATAAATTCATAATACTCTTCGATTATTCTGTTCGTAATGGCATAAAGAAATCTTTCAATAAGGATTAGTTTAAAATTACCATTTTTATCTTTTCTTGCATATTTAAATTTCACCAATAAAATTCTATAATGTAAAAAGTTTTCAATTCAGAAACATTTTAGTGGGTTTTAAAATCTTGAAATTTTACTAAAGCACATGCTTTGTTTCACATTACGAGCTTAAATTATGGAATTTCTTGGAGTTTCTATTAGCAACTTTCATTTATTAGCCTTAACTTTTCTTTTGCTAACTTTGTTTTCTACTTTAAAGAGGGTATCGTAGGCGTCATTGTCAATTTGGTAGAATATGTCAAATAAAATCATGTAAAAAATTTTTTAATATGTTTTATTATATTTTACTTTACGATTAAATTATGATCTTAATTTTTTTTTGTAAAAAACTGGTTTTTTTGTAAATTGGTTGAGAAAAGTTTTTTTTTTCTAAAATTGAAAAAAAAATTAAAAAAATTTTTGAGGAAAAACTTTTACCAGTACTTAGCCAGTAAACAACTTAACTACCAGTAATCGGCCAATCCAAAGGTAAGATTTACAAATTATTAAAAGTTGTAAATCTTACCTTTGAATTTTTTAATTCATTAAAAATTTTTTTAACATCTCTTGAAATACCAAACAATAAAAACAAATCTCTAGCGGCAATGTCAATGACAAAAAATAGCAGAGTTCACATGACTTCTTTTAACGGTATATCTCATTAGTTGGTACCGTATCTCTTTTTTCAAGAGATTTTGATATGTTTTTCGATGATGACAGGAAAAATTTTCTAAAGCAAAAGTTGTGAATAAAGTAGTCTTAAAAATTGTATTCTGAAATTGTATTGCGACGAAAAGTGTTCTTGTATTTGCGGCATTCTTAATTAACCGAAAAAGAGAAGACCACGAACAATGTTTGATAACATAAGTCCTGGCTAACATAACATTAAACGTTTGCACCTAGAAAAGCTTTAAAAAGTAAATCTGCCTGAAGATTATTTCGAATAAAACAAAAAAACTAAAATTGCAACTAACTCCTTAAAACTTTTGTTCATGTCTGTAAATTTAATTAAATATATAAGAGATCATTGTGTCATTATACAAAATCTCTAAGTTTACATAAAAAAAAATTTAAATATGAAAACAAAAACATAATCACCTTACATCATAAAAACAAGAAAATTATTATTTACACCATGTCTCACTATACACTTCAAACCATACTTACACTTTTTCTATCGACTTTTATTAAAGCAGCCGTAAAATTGTACAAAAAGAGTATAGAAAGCAGTAAAAATATTTTTGGTGAATAATTACTAATTAGAAACATAAAAAATAATTAAAATTCTTGTATTCTTAACAAAATTTATTCCATAAAAAATTTCCTTTTTCCCTTTTTCCCATTTTCTACATACTATTTCCTACACATTTATGTTTTAATCCTTTTTGTAAAATATTTGTATATAAAAGTGTAAATATTTAGATCCTTAAATATTATTTTAAATGGAATTTTCAACGAATTTTTTTTGTATGTTGTATGATGAATTTATCATAAATATTTTCTATATTAACGTGTTTCTAACTAAGTGGCTCCTTATACCGTTAGAGGTATTGCTTTAATTTTTTTGTTAAAAAAGTTCAAAAGAAATTTGTTTTATATTGTTCAATGGGTTGACTATTATACTTAAAAGGAAATTGACTAGATATTTAAAAAGAAGTAAAAACGTTTCAGTCGGTATAAACCAATTTAATTATACTCCAAACCTTTCATTGTTGTACAGCAGTTAC